TTAATTTATTTCCATTTTTTTTTGGTAGAGACAGGGTCTCGCTCTTGCTCAGGCTGGTCTCGAACTCCTGAGCTCAGAACGATCCGCCCGCCTCAGCCTCCCAGAGTGCTAGGATTACAGGCGTTAGCCACCGCGCCCGGCCTCCAACTTCTAATTTCAAAGTTATAATGAGAAATTACTTTCTGGAAACAGAGGTGTCAACCCAGTTTACTGTCTCACTTACTTTAATATAAACAAATTAAAAACAGAATAAATCTGAGCAATTTTTGAGCTTTACATATTTTGTCATATAGACAATAAAAAAGTTTAATGAGACTATTTTCCAAAAATTTCAGTAGTGGGTAATTTATATATATTTTATACAAGTCCCTGGGAACAAATGGCTAATGAATGTATTAAATTCAAATTATAACTTTCTAAAGTATTAGAGTCCATATGCTTTAGAAGTACCACAGAAAACCAAATATGGATGATTAGAAATACTAGCTCCAGCAGACAATTATATTTAAGAATTTAAGATGGATAAGCTGACAAGTATTTTATCCATTTTTAAAACTGTAACTTTTCCCAGCTTTTACTGAAGTAACATAAAATACTACACAATTTCCTTTGTATAATATCTAACCTACTGATATATCCCACTGGTAGTAGTGATTATTTCAGTTGTCTTACTGTGTGTTTTTAAACATGATGCAATGACATCAACTCAAAATGTTTATGCAGAAAGGGTGCTATTCAGGAGCTTCTTTACCTATCCCAGTTCTAAGGCAATAAGTTAATTTTCATTATTAGTCTTAATAATTTAAAGCTTGAAATCATTACCAGAATCAACATCGCTTCCATTAAATACAATTTTATAAATTTACACACAAAATTCTCATTCCTTTTTACATTCACAAAGGTGTTTGCTGTCAGAATGCCAATATATTTACTTTTAAGTACATACCATTTTTGTGGAAGAAACCAGTAAATGTAAGCTGCAAATGAGCTGACAAGCTAAATAAAACAAAGAAAAAAATTTTTATCACTTTAATGCTGTATAATAACCTAGACTTTAAAATATAACATTGAAATCAAAGCTACTTTAGCTAATTTATAAATATTTGATTTTCTCATTCTTTTTTTTTTTTTTAATGAATCATACAGGAAACTTAAGATTTTCTCATTCTCATCTGCTATTCAGGCCCATGACTCCACGCTTTCCCTGTTAAGTATGACGTCCAAAATAGTGTGTCTATACACCTAAAAAAATCAACAACAAAAAGCCCACAGTTCACAAAAATAAAAGCAAAAAATACAAAAACACCAAAGGAGTAAGGCACAAAAAAACAGACCACCAAATAAGAAGCCAGATAATTTACTGGGTTTTGTGTCCTACCTATAAAATGAGAGGTGTCCCTTCCCACTTCTCAAAAGGAAATTTTGATTAGAGTAGCTGAATCTACACAAAAGTGTTTAAATATTTTAAAGGTATGAAAATTCAACCTTCCTAACAAATGATGCAGAACCATTACTTTATATTTTTATTAAGAGTGAAATATACAATTACAGATCTGCTTAGATCTATAATTTACTGTTTCAACATGTCATTTTAATTTTTAGTTTTAGAAGCTATGAAAAAGAAAAAGGAAGCATGGACTACAGGGATCTTTGTTTTTACAAACATATATTAATAATGTTTAAAAAACTATTAGGATGAGGTAGAATAAACAGAAACATCAACAGGATTTTGTGGTATTTTTAAACTGCAAAACAGAACAATCTATTTGTTGACCATGCCTAACTTTCCAGAGCACAATTTCAGTAGCGATGTGGACAGACACCAGATTATAGAGGGCTATATAGAGTAGATGGTGGGGTAAGGAAAGCAGTACTGATCCCTTACTTAAGAAATTTACCAGTGAAAATAATGAAAATCAATAGTTACTGGGCAATAAGGACCACTAAAGGGTAGGTGTTTGTTTTTTTTAAATGATGGTAACAATCTAGGCTTTTTTTTTTTTCGAGACAGGATCTCGTTCTGTCACCCAGACTGGAGTGCAGTGGTACAATCACAGCTCACTGCAACCTCCAACTCTCAGGCTCAAGCAATCCTCCTGGCTTAGCCTCCTAAGCAGCTAGAACTACAGGCACCCAAGACCATGCCCTGCTAATTTATTTTTTGTAGAGATGGGGTCTCACTGTGCTGCCCAGGCTGGTCTTAAACACCTGGGCTCAAGTGATCCTCCCCCCTTGGGTTCCCAAAGTGTTGGGATCACAGATATGATGGACTGTTCCCACCCCATCTTTATAATCAGAGGGGAAGAGTTAAAAAAAGACATTGAGGCAAGAAGAGTATTAAGGATCAAGTAATGACTGGAAATGAGGCCACATTAGGTTAGCTTATAAATATGCCTAGGACTCCTCTTTTTCTAAGAGAAATAAGAGGCAAGTGAGTAAGATATTTCAATGGAAAATGTAGGAATGTCTGTATCTTCTTAGTGAAGTAAGTCATGAAACTGTCTACTAAAAGAACTACAAGGTGGAGGTCTTGAGGGACACTTCTAGAACAGTACTAAGGAAGTATGCCAGAATATCATTGGAGGACAAAATGACTACGGAAGAGTAAAAGTATAAGGGTCCATGCAGAGTTAGAAAGCATAACTATGAGGAAAAAACTAGTAACAACCATAATTTAAATATCAACAGAAATGGTATACAATGGGATTCTTAAAAACCTATTCTATACAGGTAAATCATATATTATAAACACTTTTATACTACTTTCTGACATGAATCAGATACTTTGTACATGCCATTTTACTAAGATAGCTAGCATTTTTCTATAAAAAAAGAGTTCCATAAATATCACCTTACAAAGCAGAACTATCTAAACTCCAAAACATAAGTGAAAGACAGAGAGGAATGAATATTCTACAATTTCTACATGTTAGAAGATAATCCATTACTAACAACATGTCTGTCCTATTCTTAGTTGCTTTAATTAAACCTACATACTAAGACCAGGGGTTAATTTACTTAAATTAACCTTATTATGATTTTTTTTTTCTGAAACAGGGTCTAGCTCTCTGTTGTCCAAGCTAGAATGCAGTGGCGTCATCATATCTCACTGCAACCTCGAACTCCTGGGCTCAAGCAATCCTCCTGCCTCAGCCTGCCAAGTAGCTGGGACTACAGGTGATTGCCACCATGACTGGCTAATTTTTCTATTTATTTGTAGAGACAAGATCTCACTATGTTCCTCAGGCTGGTCTCGAACTCCTGAGCTCAAGCCATCCTCTCACCTTGGCCTCCCAGAATGCTAGGATTACAGGCATGAGCCACCATGCCCAGCCAAATTAACCTTAATTTTGTATCTATTATCCCTTTCTGCAAATTTTCTTTTCTTTGAGATAGGGTCTCGCTATATTGCCCAGGCTGGTATCGAACTCCTTGGCTCAAGGAATTCTCTGGCCTCAGCCTCCCAAAAAGCTGGGACTACAGCAGTGTACCACCGTGCCTGGCTCCTTTCTGTAAATTTCTGAATGAGTCCCCAGCTACCAAATCTTTTGTCTGACTGCTGAAATGGCTCCCATTTCTCATCTCCCTTAAAGCCTTATATAGGAAAACAGAATAGAATGATTAAATAGTCAGAAAATCCAGGTTTGAATTCTGGTTCCAGTTATTAACTATGTCCTGATACCTATAAAATGAGGATACAATTTCTGTCAAGATTGTGAAGGTTGTAGAAAAAAATAAAGGATCTAGCAAAGTATTCTCTCCCTTTTCTACAAAGACCCCAACCTCAACTATCCTTGAGCTTAATGATCACTTTTTTCGTTAATAAGCACTTGTATTTACCACTTTTTTGTCAATATTTTTTCATACACATTCTCTTTCAAAAATCTTTTTGTTATATGGGTGTCCCTAGCACCTAGCAGTGTCTTACAGAAAGGTACCCAACAAATAAATGCTTTCCATAAGATAATGTCCTCCTAGAGTAATAAGCTTTTAAAGGTCAGGAATCATGGCCCATTACACTGTGGTACTAACAGCATCATTTACATTATCTTTCTGGGAAATATGATTTTAAGATCCAACTTTGAAATATCAGAAAGACCTTCCATTTATCTACCTCAGAAAATATTTTAAATCAGCGTTACTCAAAATGTGGTCTAAAAACTGAAGTCATTAGGGAAACTTACAGCTCCACAATAATGTAAGAAACTGAGACTAAGACTTTAACAAAAGACTGAAAATTGAAAACAAACAAGCAACCAATAAAAAGGTCCTTCACCACACTGTTCTGAGTGAGACACACTGTTTTAAATGGTACCTTACAGCTTACATAGGATAGCCCGCACAAAGAGCCAGTATTATATAATATTGTTTGAGAAAAAGAACTCCAAATTTTCAATTAATCAATTTAAAAGATAACACTGGGAATGTGGTTTGCTATGCATGATGTCCCCTCCCCTCACCTGAAAGTAAACACTCTGATATGTACCTAGAATAAAGTATACCAGTGATCCCTTCCACAGGTAGTTTCTTCCCAAGGAAAAAGGGCAAAGTTTTCTTTGCCTTCCCTCTTCCCTCTCTTGTGGCTACTATGTCCACATCTTAATTGGTTAAGTTGGATCAGACAAAGGAAAGGAAAAGAAACATGTAAGGTTGGTCAGGGCTATTTGGTTTTAGGCTACAAAGGATCTACTTCAGATGACCAGGACAGGATTTCATATAATGATCTGGTTCATTTATGTAACGTGTTCCCTGTCTCTATCTTCTCAGAAAGCAAGCAACATGGTAATAAGAAATTAGATGGAGAATTTGAAATTTTGAGATGCTAGATTCCAAGCACAAACATCTGACAGTTTTAAAGCAGTCTGCAGAATGAGGTTAAGTAAATTCTTAAGGGACAAACATTTTCAAATCAGATTCATGGAGGAACCTCAACTTTTATTAGTAAGAATAACCAGATCTCATTAATCCTAGCACTCCAGGAGGCCGAGGTGGGAGGATTGCTTGGAGCTCAAAAAGTTCTGAGACCAGCCTGAGCAAGAGCAAAGACCCCATCTCTACTGAAAATATAAAAATCAGCCAGGCGTCATGGCACACACCTGTAAGTCCCAGCTACTTGGGAGGCTGAGGCAGGAAGATCACTGGAACCCAAGAGTTTGAGGTTGCAGTGAGCAAAAATGACGTCACTGCACTCTACCCAGGGCGACAGAGTGAGACTTTGTCTCGAAAAGGGACCAAGATTAATGCCTCTAATTTATACACATTAATCAGATAGTGGCAGATACCAGGCTTCATTTCTAGAGTCATGGCTATATTACCTCAAAACAGGACAGGTTTGATGGGCTACAGCTGCACTATTATAGATGTTAGCTACCCAATTTTTCTTATACATTTTATCCTATGATATATTAAGCTGAGGAACTGGTGACTACATCAAGCCCATTATTCTGGCATCTAGGGTCTCAAAATACAAGGTTCAGACACACAGATGAAAACACTTTCTAGTGCGAAGATAAAGTTTAACAGGGGATGGTGTGTATCTATTATTTATAAATAGATGACCTTCCTAAAGTACTAGAGAAAACGCAAAGTAACTACTACAAACCCAAAGATCATACAAGGAATATCTTAAAAATTTGTTCTTAAACACCCAGGTTCTTTTTTTCTTTTTTGAGATGGGGTCTCATTGTATCGCCCGGGTGGGTCTCAAACTCCTGGCCCTCAAGCCATCCTTCTGCCTCAGCTTCCCAAGTAGCTAAAACATCCAGGTTTTAAGAATCAGATATGCTCAGTGGCAAGTGATTTGAGAAGTAAATACATAATAAGAAATTCATAGCCCAGGTTCTAAAATAAAGAACAAAAACTTAAGAGTGAAAAGATGCCACCAATTTGAAAACAACTTCAAAACTTAGTCAAGACAGGAGGGTTATTAAAAAAAAGCGGGGGGGGGGGAGACATCGGATCTTATTAATGTGGAAAAGACATAAAACCAACCTAAGCAGCAGCCTAAAGATTTAAAAATGTAGCTAAATCTACAAAAAAGAAGGGTAGGGAAAAACCATTAACATAATAGTTTTATTTAAAATAATTTAATGGCTTTCTTAAGATTAACATCCTTAGGCCAGAGATGGTGGCTCACGCCTGTGATCCTAGCACTCTGGGAGGCCGAGGCAGGTGGATCGCTCAAGGTCAGGAGTTCGAGACCAGCCTGAGCAAGAGCGAGACCCCCGTCTCTACTAAAAAATAGAAAGAAATGATCTGGACAACTAAAAATACATATATAGAAAAAATTAGCCGGGCATGGTGGCTCATGCCTGTAGTCCCAGCTATTTGGGAGGCTGAGGCAGAAGGATTGCTTGAGCCCAGGAGTTTGAGGTTGCTGTGAGCTAGGCTGATGCCACAGCACTCTAGCCCAGATAACAGAGTGAGACTCTGCCTCAAAAAAAAAAAAAAAAAAAAAGATTAACATCCTTAAACAACCTATAAGACCCCGCATTACGTGGCCAGGGTCATCTGCTCTAGCCTCCTCTCATGCCACTCTCCCTACTCTCTCTACTCAGCTACTCTGGCCTCATATGCCAGATGTATAATATTCTTTTTATCTAGAACTACCTATCTACTCATCCTCCCTCTCCTCATTTCACTCCTATACTCATCTTTCAGATCTCAGTTTATTTTTTCAGAGAAGCTTTCCCTGACCATCACTATTTCCATACCCAGTACCTCAAATGAGAGCTGGTTCTCCTGCTTTATGCACTCATAGTTTCCCTATACTTTTTTTTCCCTGCTTATTTTATACTTACATGACTATGTCCCTCCCCCTAAACACTAAGCTCCATAAAGGCAGGGCTTTCATCGTTTTGCTCACCATTATATCCCATAGGGCTTAGTATAGTACCTGGGACATGGCATGCTAAGGAAACAGAAGTTCCCTATCCCTGTTCCAAAGTATAGATCCAGACCTTGTTATTGTACAAAAATATGCTTAGAAAAGGGGATGTGTGGAAAAGGAAGATTACTAATTCAAGAGTTTAGGTTGTAATAAAAACAAAAACAAAAAAACTGATGAAAGGTATGCTGCCTTATCAATCTACTAAAAACACATGCCTGATAATATTCTGAATAAAAGTTATAATTCAGGTTATCTTTTGAGGGGTTTCTCCAGCTACTAACAGTGGACCAGGAATGGAAGAGGAATAAGGGGAAGAGAGAGGACACATCTTGCTTCTCATCTGGCCCTGGGGAACACTTTTAGAAGGAACTCCAATTTGGAGATCTTTTCATGACGTGTTTCAGTCCATGGGGATGCACTTGGAAGTCAAGAGTTATGACTACAGAATTCCAAAATTGGTAGGATTGATAGCATAAGAAATCCTTGGGATCCTGCTAGGATGGACAACTACAGAAAGGCAAGAGTTTTATTCTAATAAGCCATAGTGCTTGTTCAAAATCCATAGTAAATTCAAAAGTGGAGTACCAGAAAGAAGAAATGGAGAGAATATAAGACATTACATCAAACCTTCTATAAATAAAGGTGTTTTAAATGATGCGTAATGATAACAAAAAAGCAAAAAGAGGTAACAGGAAAACCTGGGGACTGAAGGTGCAACCACAGTAAGCTTCTAAAATTTGTTAATTGCTCTGGGAGTTTCAGAAGCCACTCTTCAAGAAAAGAAACAATCTGCATAGATAGTAGGCTTTATTATTGAGTTTTAAGGTTACAAATAACAGTTCTAGTCTATTGTCATGAATTGCTTGGCACCTTAGAAGTATAAACCATGAAGTGTCCCTATTTTTCTTTTTTCTGTCAGCTCCTTCCGCTAACAGAAAGTTTCTGCAAGTTACTTGTAAGATTAACTGTAGATCCAAAGTGTAAAAGATCCTGAACCACTACCAACTTTTCCACGATGCCAGGATTTTGGTTTAGTTTATAAGTCACTATGAATGTCATAATTAGGTCAGGCATTTATTTGATTGTACTAACTTTTCGGCTGTAATACTATGGTATTTTCGTGCATCTTGATATTCCCCTTAAACTTTAAAAAATGAAATATATTGTGCTTGGGAATGGAGATATAACTTTGGAAGTGCTGAAAGAACATGAATTCCAGTAGAAGCCTCCTGACTACAGCTGTTGAACAGATCCAGGATCCAATCAAACTGAATGAGATCCCTATATTTGAAATGGTACAGAGAATATAGACAGAGGAGAGGTAGTTTTGCATATGATTTTAGATTTTAACTTCTACTAATTAATGTCATGGAACAACAAAGATTTGTTTTGTTCTCTTTTAAGAAAGAATCTGAGGGCCGGCCAGAACAAGAGCAAGACGCTGTCTCTACTAAAAATAGGAAAAATTAGCTGGGCATGGTGGCGTGTGCCTGTAGTCTCAGCTACTTGGGAAGCTGAGGCAGAAGGATTGCTTAAGTCCAGGACTTTGAGGTTGCTGTGAGAGAAGAAAAAAAAGAATTTGACAATATATTCTACAAGCAAAGTTTTTGTTTTATTTTGGTTTTTTGCTCTGTCATCCTGGGTAGAGTGCAGGGGCATCACCATAGCTAGCTCACTGCAGCCTCAAACTCCTGGGCTCACTCAAGCAATCCTCCTGCCTCAGCCTCCTGAATAACTGGGATTATATGCACACACCACCACACCCAGCTAAGTTTTTCTATTTTTGGTAAAGAGGCTGGTCTTGAACTCCTGAGCTCAAGCAATCCTCCCGCTTCTGCCTCCCAGATAGGAGTACAGGTATGAGCAACCTTGCGAGGCCACAGCAAGTTTTATAGTGCTAGCATTACGTACCAAGTGTCTAGGGCACTTCTTAGAACACTGTGTGATAAGTTAATAGAATAAGATTATGTTTAATTTGAGATAAGAAATATTTTGAAGTTAATAATATAGGGTCTTGGGAGTAAACTTAAAATGAAGCACTTCCTTAATTCATCTTAGTGCCTTTGGGAGCAACACTCAGACATTTCATGAAAATCTTGGGGGGGTTGAAATGGCCAACTTACTGGTCCCCGATAGACCCCAAGGATTGAAAAAGTTCTCTTCCAAAATTACAAGCAGGAATTTTATGTAACCTTCTGATGTTTCTATGAGTTGCTGTTGAACCCACTGAGTGGAAAGGAATACAATTATTGGAGAAACAATTATTCAGTGAGAATTATTATAATATCTCCCTCACAACACATTCTTAGGAAAGCTCAGTAATATTTATCAAAGCCAATGTCACAATGAGATAGCAGTAGGGTTTAGGAACAATGAAGGTAGAACCTTCATGAGAAAGATGAAGAAAAAGGTCTAGTTTTCTTCTTCTTCTTGGTTCATTCTTCCTTCCCACTTGAACCCTGAAAGGCCTAGAGAGCAAACTACTAAGGTGGTCAGGAGAAAAGCAGCAGGCGGGGTCAGACCAGGACACTTTAAAAAGCCCCAAAGATCCCAAGAGCTCTGTCCAGGGCAAGCAACCAGACAAGGATCTGGAATAGGAATTTGCTAAGAATAACACGCATGCACTGAAAATATTCTCAGTTCTCTCTCATAGAGTACTCCCTGAGCAGTAATAGAAGGATTAGGTAAATTCAGGACCTCAGCTTCTAGAATGAACTATCACAGCTTGATTTACAAGTCAGGATTGCCTAGATATGGAAACATAAATTACACTTCAATCCCACAAGATTGTTAAGATATAAAATTAAAACTGTGATTTTACAACTCAAGAAAGTCACCTAATTCAAACCAAGTTTAAAAGATAAGCGACTGCAAAAAATGAAGCCTTTTTAGCACTAAAACAAGGAGAAAACATAAATGAAGCACCTTTAAGTGTATATCCTATCTAAATTGGTAAGATGTGATTTAAAACTTCAGAAGATAGGAGGTGGAAATCTTAGGAAAGAAAAAAACAAAAACAAAACTGCAGGAGAAAAATTTATTGTGACAATTTTTCCAACTACATTTTTTAAAAAAATCTAGTATTTTTCGTCTACATTTCTCTCTAAAAGTAGTCAACAGATGAACAAAAACCACACAAATTCCTGTTTCTCTCTAGAATAATATTCAAGTTTACATATCGAAGAATAAACAGAAGCACGCTGTTTAGGGTAGGCAGATACTAGGCTAGTCAGAACATTTAGGGATTAGTTCTGGGTATATATTTGAAAATGTACAATAAGTAGATTCTGTCCAAAGGGTCAAATTTCTGAAACTATCATGTGAGAAATGTATTTCAAATACAAAATAAAGTTATGAATATGTTGCTTCAAAGATTTAAATAAGGGGAAGAAGGAAAAGATGGAAAAAAAGCCCCTCTCTTATTTGAGGATAGTTACTTAGAAAAGATACGATACTGTGAAGCACCTGCCACCTCACCTAGCACATAGCAAGTATACCTAAATGTGAGTCTCCATCTCTCCTTCGATGAGGTAGGAGAATTAAGATCAACTGCAGAAGTTACAGAGACTCTCATTCAAAACACAAGAAACTGTTAATGGAGATAAACAATAATGAACACAACTGCCTTATAAAGCAGTGAGTTTCTTGACTTGGAGGTATTCAAGCCAAGGCTTAAGGATTCTCTGCCAGGGATGCTACAGAAATTAATTCCTGACTTGTGTTTAAGTTTGAACAAACTGACCTCTAAGGTTCCTTCTAACTCTTTATGATATTGAGGTGATCATTTGGAAAATGATCACTGTAATTTTTCCTCTTTCCTCAAGTATATCACTTAATGTAAACTGATAGGTTATCTTACCTATGAGATTCTTGCTCTCCTTTCATTTTCTCTACTTTTGATAACATATCATCAACTTTAAATGTTTTCCTGGAAGAAACAGATAAACAAAATAATCACTTCTCAACTGGGAAAAACAAACAAATTACACTTTATTGTCACTATTATAGGCAAGATGGAAATCAGATTATTTTTAGTAAGATAAATTATGGATGGTTAGCCATACAATGAATACTATTAAGACAGTATATGTTACCATACAGCAGATAAGCGTCCAAGCCCCATCTCAAATACTAACTTTTTCATGAGACCATTTGTAATTCCCAAATCAGAGTGATTTCTCTTTGCCCACAGCACTTGGTCTACATTTATTATGATATTTGGTCTTCTACATATGAAATTTGTGTAAATATTTTATTTCCCCTACTAGATTATAAGCTCCTGAAGAACAGTGATTGCTTTTCTTCAAGGAAAGCCATGTAGTGTCTGCATAGTGCCTCACACTTGGGCAGGTATTCAAGTATCTGCTGAATTGAGCCAACAAACGTAAATTATATGTATTTTGAAACACATTTCTATTAAGCAACCCAACAAATATATACTAGCAACATCACATAAAAAAATGGATATTCTATAAAATGTATCTGAAGTTCACAAGACATCCTCCAAGATTATTAGCAAAGCCTAAAGTTAGATGATATATATATATCATACTAAAGAGATGGTTGTTGATATCATGAAAAAATTCTGAAGGGGACATACCCATCATATCATAACAAAATTATTAGCTTTTAACTTAGTAAGTTTAAGAGAAAAAAGTAGTTTTTCCACAATAGAAACTTAAATTATGTATAATCTCCCAAAGCAATTAAAGGATGAATAGATTGTAAAATAAGCCTCATCTTAGTTCTTAAGGTAGTCTATGATATGTCCCCTACAGATAGAGGCTAAAAATCTAGATCCATATAATTTAATTAGAAACAAACATTTCTCTTTATACTCATATATTCTCTTCAAATTTAGAACTTGAAAAGCTTAATGTATTCCACATTAACTTACTATTTTATAATGCTTGAATGCAGATACTAGAAATTATGAATATGCTCATTCCTCAAAAAGAACTATTGTACTCAACTACTATAATAAAAATTGACAGTAGAGAAATGTTAACATAAATATATTACAATAAATCACTGATAGGAAGAGCAGAATTGATACAATCGATATTTCAGGTAAATAAGAATAGCCTCCATTAACCAAAGATCTGAAGGGGGAAAAAAAGCTTCTCTCTTTACCTTTAGAGTTACTGAAAACTTCGATATTAAAGTTTCATCCAACAGACCATAGTTAAGAAGTGCTTTAAGAAGGATGGCAATATATTTTCAATCTCCACAGATAAGAGAGAAGAAAGAAGAAAAATGTAGGACTCTTTTAAGCTACTTACAAGAACTGTTAAGTGTAAGTACCGAAAGTTACTATTGAGGACGGTTGTGAAGTTACTGGAAACTTTTAAGAATAATATGTTTATCTTTATGTAATGATTAAGAAGAAATTCTGTCTGTATAAAGAAAGGTAAGACTTTTTAAGTCCCAAAGTTCACCTCTTCCAATATTATGAAGTTGTACATAGAAAAGTGAATAGGAAAATTAAATATTAACAACCATTTGAAACAGATAAGATCATAAAAGCAGCCCTGCCTTCTTTAGGAATAAACAAAACAAACCACATAAGCAACTATACAAAAGCAGCTCCTCCCCCAACACCAAGTATTTCTGTTCTTTAGAAAGGTAATGCTACTTTAGCTCAGATTTAACAAGGGAAATAGTTATCAAAAAGTAGAATATTTTAAAAATTCAAGAAATTTCAGGAAATTTTCTTGGGAGGGTTCAGAAACAGATCAAATGACATCTAGGAAAATGGATTCGATAAAAGATGCCCTTCTCCTTACCTATATTTCTACTTTGTCAGAGTTGTGTTAGCCTTTAAAATTTGAATATCCCTATGAAGTGAGACTAAAGTATGAGATGAGTTTAATAAATATACCAGAATTAATATGAAAACTGAGAGTATGACTTCAAAGGGAGTGACATGCTTATTCCAACAATAGATATTATGTTGTTGTAATATTTAAAAAAGGAGTTCCAAAAATGTCTTGAGAAAAGATCACAATCACTGGACTAAGTTTGCCACCTCCAAAGTTACTAACCAGTTTGAAGACAGCATTCATTTGAAGATATAAGTTGGCTCTAATTTCTTAAAAATTAGTCATATATAAAGTTAGGCACATTAACAAGAGAATTAAGTGATTCCTATGCATTTCTGTAGGAAATTAAGTGGGATTTAAATGTTTTTTGGCTAGCAAATTGCTTCCAAATTCCCCAAAGACAATTTTTTTTTAAAACCTCAAAGGCAATAATTAAGAAAATCAGTTTCTACTATCAGGCCTTTTAAACTATCTTCACCCAATGGCAGACAACAGAAATATATCCCACAATGGGACATATTGTCTAATAAACAAACATGACAATTCCAAAATGATGAACTTAGATTTTAAATGTGTATTATATTTTCCATTTATGGATTAACTCGAACTTATTTTAAAATAACTTAATCATTTTTAAAATTAAAACCAAGCACCATCCTAGATAACTCAATTGAATTTCAATATTAAAAATACTTTAACAAAAGAAAAAAGTTAACTTAATTAAATTTGAGTTTTATAGAATAAATCGAGGGTCAGCACACTATGGACCAAGGGCCAAATTTGGCCTACTGCCTATTTTTGTACAACCCGGGGGAACTAAAAACAATTTTTCAGATAAATATTAGCAATTGATTTGATGATGGAGAACAGTAACTTTGAACTTCAATTAAGCAAAATGTTATCTGCCCCCTCCCCTAAAAAGAATTCTACATTTCTCATTAGTAGGCCTGTACTACAAAATGTTGTATTTTGTATTGAATTTTGAATTTCATCAGTAAAAATTTATGGACATTTTTCTTTCTTTTTATATTGAATACCTACATAATACCCTTGATTTTGCCTCCTGGCCACAAATCCGAAATTATTTACTATCTGGTCCCTTACAGAAAAAGTATGCTGAATGCTGGCATAGATCAAATAATAGACTAGACAGGTAAAGAGTTGACAAATCTAATTCTGTTACCTAATTCATTACCTCTCTCCAAGTTATTTGGGTGCTCAGCAACTTTCACTTAATAAATGCAATTCATTCTCTCTCTTCAGAAAGATAATCAAAAGACAAATAGTTTGAACATTCCAATCTTTCAAAATACAAGTACACAGATCTACAAAATTCAACTATGTCTTGCTACAGAAACGTGATGCCATTTAATAACTAGTAGGAGTCTTCCAAGGCTGCAGTCCCCAACCACCAGGCCTCAGACCAACAGCAGTCCCACCAGGCTGCAGAGCTCCCTCACAGTCCATGGAAAAATTGTCTTCCATGAAACTTAGGAAGAGGGTGGGCGGCGCACAGCAGGAGGTGAGTGGAGGGTAAGCAAGTGAAGCTTCATCTATACAGCTGCTCCCCATCACTGGCATCACTGCCTGAGCTTTGCCTACCCCTGCCCCCACACCCACCCCTGTGGAAAAATTGTCTTCCATATAACTGGTCCCTGGTGCCAAAAAGGTTGGGTACCACTGTCCCACGGAGTTTGGTTTCAAAGTCTTTTAAGACAGCTTAATGGTCTTACTAAGTCAAGATTATAACACCAAATGCCTAATACAAGCTCTCTCCTTTGAATTCAAACCTGTTCACTTGATATGCTCAATAAATATAATCTTGTATCTAGGACAAGAAACTTGCATTCTATAATTACATATGGTTAAGCTTTAAATGTTACACAGCAAAAAGCTTGTCACACACATCCAGACTCCACTTTAAGACCAGTTGATTAAGACTTTCTTGTTTTTTAAGAACATTCATCCCATTGACTTCAAAAGTATTTCCCTTTCAGTAAGACTACCATCAAAGAAATAAACAAGACTTTCTAAACCTATCATTATAGGAGCTAATTCTTTATTGTTAGACATATAAGAAATATTCAAAAATTAACTTTTAAATTTTATGTATCAAAAATGGTTACCCTGAGCCCTTTAGGAAATATTTAAATCCCTGACTTCTACCAAACTTGAAAATAACTAGTGGCACAGAGTAAAAACATGAGTCAGTAAAATTATCTCATTCACTTCACTACTAAATCATTTCTGTTGGAGGGGGAAAAATGCTAGAACAAACTGGGATTTACAAAAATGATACTATTAAAAATCACTTTATAACTAATGCAACCAGTCACTCTTTTACTTGTTTTCATATTTAATTAGAAATAGTAACTTAAAACAAAACTTTAACATGGTTTGATCAGCTTGAAATAAGAGTTATAAAAATGTACCTTTTGATGTTTGTTCTGGAGTTTCGATGAGACATGTAAGTAAGAGTTCTGTGCAAAAATATTGGCTATAAAAAAATTTTTAAAATATTAAAATTAAATACAGATGAAGTTGTAAGAAAGAAATAATATTGATGAATTTTGTTGATTACTTACTGCTATGAGATTCCGAGTTCGAAGAAATCTATAGATCTGTGTTGGTTCTAGGTAACAGGAAACAAAATCCAGACATTATCTAAACGTACTTATGACTTAGCTTGTCAGGAAAATATCAACTCAGCCCATGTTTTAACCAGCATAAACCAATCACCTGTTATAGAAATCATGCACTAATGTTTACATCAAAAAAATCAGCATATGCCATAAAATCAAAAGGCATTCAATATATGGCATTCATTCACAAAATTCATCTCCATTTATTTTAAACCTATGGTTCTCTATAATCCTGTTCTTAAACCTTTCTAAGGTAGCTATTGTTACTGGGCAAAACTGAAGGGCAGTAGTTATATTCATTTAATTTAGCTAATTTGAACTATTTATAATCCATCTCCTTCCAAAAAGTAGCTGAAATAGGTAGTTGGATTCTACAAGATAACTATTTATTGATGTGAAACAAGATGAAAATTTCACTTTTTAATTGGTCACTTAAAAAATGTGTATAGTAGTCAGTCAAAATGGCATAAAACTGCTTCCCAGACATCCTAATACAGGTATATTAAAAGTCAATATTGAAAGGCATCTGAGCCACGATTGTAGCTAAACTCATTAATATCTCCAATTATAGTTTAAATTTTTATCTACTTTGCTCAATGTAAATATTACCTCTATATAAATACTACCTCAACATGTATTTTTTACACATTTGACAGATTCTCAAAAGTCTTTTTAATGCTTAGAATTAAATCAGCTAAATTTTCAATCAGCTATAATTTAATTTGTTATACAGAACTTAGGTTAAACATGAAAAATATACACATATCATACCAGTTACATTAATGACCTATTAATATCACATTTCTTTAAATAAAGTAGTATCAAACTAAATATGAGTAACTATATTATTAAAGCATTTAAAAGTCTCATAAATGAAGAGCAACATTAGAGAAAACTCAAGCTGTTCTGTGACCAGATCTATCTTACTAGAGCTGACGTTTCCAAGGGGGACTCATCAGAAAGCAAACAGTTAAAACTTTCTTGGAGGATTTGTCTTCTCATAACGTTTTGAAAGAATTTTTAAAATTTCCACTTACTCTCCAGTTAGTTTAGTTTTAGTTTCAAATTAAACTAAAAGAAGATGCAAGTATGTCTGTCACCACTGCCTTTCAGTGGTGACAAAGTTCCATCATATTTCCAATTAAAGCCTCTACAGATTTTTGGAAGTGTATTAGGCAAAATAATGTGAATCTCTAAAACAGCCTGGATAATTTGTTTCAACAAAAACTGAAATTCCTTGTATTAAATTCCAATTAGAATTTCATGAAGCACTAATGAGAGAGAATGAAGGAAGGGTATTAAACAATGTAATACGTCTTTCCAAGCACAGCTGATACCATGCCCTTAACTATGCCGCAATAAAATTGTAAATAAGGACATTTGGCGGTAGAGCCAAGTTTATTCAAGTTTCTGTAAGATATTTAGCTATTAAAGATCACCCAAATTATAACATCCACAAAAAAGCAAAAAGGGAAAACAATTAGGATGTAACATTCATTAAAGAACAGTTAAAATTATTTATAGTCATGATGTTAATAAATTCTATTGTTTCCAGACACCTTACTCCCCTTTCCAAATAAGTCCCAGTTTCGCCCTCCAAACTGACCTTAAAAACAGAAATTGATACAAAAAAAAAAAAGTGCCGGAATAAAGCCAAGTACAAAGAGCAGAATTCGGGGGTCGTCTCCAGAGAAGTAAGACGCTTGATCGCTGTCTCAGTTTACGTATCCAAAAAATGGGTGGCTATATTTGAAAGGTTTAAAGCATCCAAGGTGCCATGCTAACACGCAGCACCAAGTTAGCGCGAAGAAGGCATTTCGGACTGATGACAATCTCCTCGGTTTTTCTGCACTCATCCCTTCACAGGCTTCATTTTGCACCTCAAATCCTACAACCGAAACCCCTGTACTTCTAGAGTACGAAAGGCATGAAAGAAAACAAGAACTAGTCTTGGGATGTGACTGCACCTCAGCTCAACTGTAACCTCTGCATCTAAAAGAAGGCTGCTCTTAACGTGGGGCCCCAGGACTGAACCTCTTGGGTACATCTTCGGGGAGTCACCAACCTACCCTGGACCCCCTCTTCCACTTCCCCCAAAGGCCCGAGACTTTGGATCCTCTGGAGCCGTAATCCCTGAAGGGGGGCACATCCCCCTCAATTTCTCCCTCCACTCTCAAACCAACTGGACTCCCGGGGAGGACGGGGGGCCCAGCACAGTGTCCCGTCCCCCGATGCTGGAAGAGTGGGTACTGCTGCCCTCAAAGCCTCACAGACACTCACTCTCAAAGGCCTGAAGGAAAAGCTCGTGGTCAGCCTGGACGTGCTCCATTTTCGGCTTCTTCACCGGTAACACCGCGGCCCCCGCCGCTGCCGCCGCGGAGGAAGAGGAGGAGGCCGAGTAACTGCCGCCGCCTCCACAGCCCCCGCCGCCGGATTTGCCGCCCGAAGCCGTCGCCGCCGCCACAGCCGCCGAACCCCCGAAGCCGCCTCCCCCGGACCCCGCGCTGGGCCCCGAACCGCCCCCTCCCCCACCGCCGTGCTTCTGAGGCGCCATCGCGGTTCCTGCCTCCTCCCCCCGCCAGCTACCCGCCGGGTGGCCCCGGAGAGTAAGCGCCTGCAATACCAACCGCTCGCCCCAGCAGGCTCCGGCGGACCGAGGGGGGAAGGAGGAGAGAGGGGAGGAGAGGGGAAGGGAAGGGAGGAGGAGAGGAGGGAAGGAGGGAGGAAAAAAAAAGTGTCTCCTCAGAGCCCCGCTCCGCTCCGGAGGCCGCTCACCCTACCCTGGCCTCGCTCCGCCCACTTCCCCCGCCCGGCGCTCTGATTGGCCGGCGGGAGCGCGCGCCGCCCGGCCGCCCAGCCCGTTGGCCCGTGGATTCCCCCGTCAGTCACGCGGAGGTGCTTTTCGCGGAGGCGCGGCTTGGTTGGCCCGTGCGCGCTGCCGATCGCGGGCCCGGCCGCCTCTTTGAACTGAATTCGCGGGAAAATTAGGGGTCGGAGCGGCCTTCCTGCTGGCCCCGGTGCATTGTGGGGAGAGAGGGACCCAGCGAGCGGCTTAGGGAGCCGTTTCTCGCCTTCTGAGCGTCGTCAGTCACCGCCCCCAGGGGGTTACGAGACCCCCTGAGGAGAGGCGGGCCTCTGAGGAATTGGGGGCGAGGGGCCTCTTAAATGAACTGAGATCTATTACAGATCATCGAGTCTCTAACTTCCCAGGAAGGGGTCTGACGGGGATTGGTGTGCCCATGATCAGGGTCGCTTCTCAGCTGAGAGGCTCCCGGGGCGGGAATCGCGTCCCCTGCCCTCTGAACACCACGTGCCCCAAGCCACCCATGGCCGAGTCCCACCTGGCACCGGCAAGGGTTTGCGGCGGCTGCAGTCGGACGCTACGCGGCTCCACCAAAGGGAGCGATTTATATTGTTGCAGGGAGGGAAACTATTTCCTGTAGGCTTCAGGGTCTTTACTGAGAGAGGTGGCATCTTCTCAACGTGATGGGAGCAAAGTCCAGATATTTGGATTTTTGGCTCCAGAAACCATAGTAGTGGTTAGAGCGAAAACGATGATTTCTTAGAAGAACTTACACTCTTCTTGAGAATCTATACAGTTTGTGATCAAAAACTTGAGAGGGAATACGGTGTTTTGCGGGTCTTGCTTAAAAAGACGCGTAGGCCCGATTCAGTCTTCGGGTACGGGTTAGTCTGGAGTTGAGCTAATATTCTTAAAGATTTGAGTTTCGGGTTGGACAAAATGATCTCTAAGAATGTTCATCCAATTCAGATTCTATGATCTTATACTACATTAAAGTGAAACACTACCTTTAAAAATCCCAATCTATAAACATAGAACCATTTCATGCTTTATCTATATAGCATTTTTCAAATGTCTACTTTGAGTTCTCTGTAGTTAACTGCAAAACACTGTTTACACAAGTGTCTTTGTTAAACAAGTTGTTTACAAAACTAATTATCTTTGGAATGGTTATTTAAATACCTCAAGTACTGACTTTATCAAAGACTTTGCTACTTAAAGTGAGCCCTACAAATGATGCATTTAATATAAAATGTGGCATTTCAGGAACACATCTGAAATTAAGTATTACCTGAAATTGGGTATACATGTTGCTGATTTTTAAAAGACAACGGCTGTATATTAGATTCAGACAAAAAGTTCAGAGTGCTTTCTTGTTTATTATACTATTCTCTGTACTCCGTATTTTTTATATCCTCCCACAAAAAGAGGTTTTTTTTTTCTTTTTTTAGATTTCTGAAATCAGCCTTCTCTGATTAATGCCATCCCACAGAGGCTTGTGGGTTTTTAGATCTTGGTAAACTGCTTTACAGGGTTAGAAAATGAGGTTTCATCAATTCAGTCAGGGTCTGTAGAATTCACTCACACTAAGCAAATTACAAAATATCTAGTTATAAACAAGAATGCTAATTTATTAATTAACAGTAAGTATAACTGGCAAAATGACCAGTCTTTATCATTTGTACAGGTTCTCCCATTTTGGGGGGAGAGGGCACAGATGGAGAAAGAGGTACAGTCAAAGAAAAAAAACTAGTGATGGATTGTCATAAATCTTTGATAAACAGAGAAATGGAGCTAAGGGAGTTGAGATGTTCTTAGAGGTTATTTCCTTTAAGAACACCTTGGTAGCATTCTCAGCTTGGGCATGGGCATATGCATGGTTTTATGTACAGTAGCTAACTAGCACTGGTCATGAGAATCAAAGCCAACCATGCTATGGGAGAGGCATAGTAACAAATTTTCACTTTGGGATTGTCCTTTGTCTAGAATGTATGTAGAATGCTGAAAAAAAAAACTTAATACCTCGCATAAATTAGAATTAATTGAAAGGTTACCTTAGCTACGTTACTGTTTTCCTAATCAGATAGGTAATATGTTTAGAGATCATCTCAGGGTTGGTGCCATTTGCGACTAGCTTATTTTGTGTTGTTATTTCTAAATTTGAGGTGACAATTGTTTTTGAGATTTGTTATGCCAATTCACTGTCAATGACTTGTATATGTTTAACTCCTTTACCTCACATTGAATTTGAATTGCTTTCTGGGAGATTTGTTTGTTTGTTTTTGCCTTCATGTCATATCTGGAATGGAACTGTAAACTCCTAAAAGCAAAGGCTGTTGTCTTTTTTTTTTTCCTAGCACAGGACTAGATATGTATGTAAGGTAAGAAGGATAGCAATTGTTTTAATACTTTAAAGTTATCATTATGTTTTTATGAGTATAAAAGCTTTTTCATAATGATCCTGTGAAGCTGGCATTATTTCCATTTTATAGCTGACAAAATAGGCTTAGAAGGGTTACATGACTTGCTCATTTAGTGGCAAAGTTGTGACATAAACCCAGTTTTTCTAACTCCAATTTCTATGCTCTTTTGTAATAATGATACAGTCATCCTTAATAATGTACCACAAGCTGTTTTTAAGTTCATTTGTTTTAAAGCCTAAAGGCCACCTAGCTTCTCTTACAAAAAAAAACTATTTTGTACTCCTATTATCCACTCTTTCACTAGTGCCCTTACTTCGCCTTATGTAGTCTTATCTGTTGGGATTATTAACATTTTTTAGACTCCCTTGGCAGTCCAGTGACGTCTATGAATCTCTTTTTAAAAAATGTATAAATATAAAATTTATCAGATTATAAAGGAAACCAATTATAATAAAATACTGTTACTAAAATAAAAAACTAAAAAGTTGTGATGTAGTACTGTAAGTTCTTTACAAATGTACTAAATAATAAATGAGATGCAGCAGCTGGTCAGTTGGATAACTATCAAAATTTCAAAGTAATGATGAGGATAAATAATATTTTGAGATACCTGCAAGAAATATCTGTAATGGGATATGAAAATTTCTCTTAGTAACAAAGCCACAGGTGATGCTAACACTAATGTGATTTGTCACCTAAAAGGAAAAGCTAAATTGCAGCTAGGGTTAGTGTAAATAAAGATATAATTTTTTTTCTCATCCAAGTTTACAGACTCCCTGAATTCTGGTTAATAACCTGTGTTACAGCAACAAGTCTTTTTTTTCTTTCTTTCTTTCTACTTTACTCTAAGTTCTTTGGGGCATGAATGATGGATGATTTAGAACTGAGGTGTCTATCACTGTGACTGGCACAGAATAGGGGCTCATCCAATGAGTCTTAGTGAATAAGGAGGGACACCAGTGCACAAATATAAATTGTGATAATAATGATTGAGTGCTTACTATGTGCTAGGCAATATTTTAACATTTTTAAGTCATTCAATCCTCATAGTGAGGTAAACACTATTATTATCTCCATTTCATTGATAAGAAAACAACAGCAAGACGTTAAGTGACTTGCATAAGCTGGGATTCTAACCCAGACAGTCTGTCTCCAGAGGCCTCACTCTTGACCATCATGCCACAAAACTAGAGAGTTTTAGAGATATAAGATATTGCCCATGTCATTTCTGGGTCAAGAAAGATCAGTTAATATTGCCTTTGATGCGCTGGAATGAGTAATCATCAGTATAAACGCAATAGCCAAAAAATAACTGAGATATCAAGTCTCCTTTTTACTTGTATAATGTCTTTCTATCCTTTATCCATCCTCATCATCTTAAGATTAAGGGCTGAGACTATTACAATAAGCCAACAAACGCTATATCGGGAAAAAAGTATGGTTTGCCTTGCTTTGAGGAAACTAAAAAGTTGTATTTACTGATAAACTGAGAGAAATAGAATCAAATTTGATTTTTTTAAAAAAGAATGTCCTCCTAGATAAAAATAGTAAGGACCTCGCTAATAAAATTTAGTGTGAAGGAACAGTTTGAACAGTCCTATTTGAATCTGAAAACCAAAAGTTTACTTGTTTTTGTTTCCTTTGTCTAGGAAAGAAAAACATGAGAACCATGAAACATTCACTGTGTATTATGAGGTTTTCATAACAAACCACTGATTTGTGTGTTTATCTAGGGTTAACGAGATATAATAAGAATGGGAGTAAGCCATAGTTAGAACCCCTGGGACAAGAAGAAACTTGACACTAATAATTTGAGGGAGAAAAAAACACCTGAGCCATATTGAAAATATCTAAACCTGAATTTTGGGAGGCCTATGTCTGGAGACAACTATTATTAATATGATCGTTTTTCAAACTGTGGAACAAGTTGTTCTATGTTTAACTTTAAACAAAAGTGAAGTGAGCTGATATCTATTCAGTAAACTATCCATACACTAATTATAAACAGTAATATTGGTTACTGTGGTTAACCCCTCAGACACGTGTAACTGAATCTCACAGAGATTAAGTAACTCTCCCACCATTCCATAGTTTGTAAGAAGAGAGCTGGGATTTAAATCCAGTTGTAGGAGACCCAAAACCCCATGTTTTCCAGTACAATAGAGGTATCCAAGCTGTCTTCCTGGAAGCCCCAGAGTTTCAGGAAGATGAAACCACAATGTGGTGGGCTCTGCATCCCTATTTGTCTTCAATCAGAGCTGTTCTACTTTTATCTGTTACACAATTTGTTTGAAGATAATGGTCCTACTTGCTAAAAAAAAAATTTTTTTTTAAACTGCCACATGATACTATGCTGCCTTCCTAAGTCTGATAAGGACAAACCATGGGCTAAAATGGCACTAATAGTGTATTCTGGGATATACTCATCACAAAATTTGACAGCATTAATAACAAACCAGGCAGTGACTCACGCCTATTATCCTAGCACTATGGGAGGCCAAGGTGGGAGGATCACTTGAGGCCAGGAGTTTGAGGTGG